GGGAGAGGCAAGAGGGAGGGGACATGGGGATGTATGTATATGTATAGCTGATTCACTTTGTTATAAAGCAGAAACTAACACACCATTGTAAAGCAATTATACTCCAATAAAGATGTCAAATAAATCAATAAAAGATAAAGGCAACTGTTTAAAAATATGTCAGAAAATGTGTACATATAGCTGACTCAGTTCGTTGTGCAGCAGAAACTAACACAACATTGTAAAGCAACTATACCCCAATTAAAAAAAATCTATACCTTCTTGTTTGGAAAAAAAGTATGTCAGAAAGGAAGAGAAATAAGAGGTGTGATATTTTGGACATTTGGACAGTTGTTAATTCTATAATATAATTCTATGATATAAGTCTGTAATACAACATTATCATTATATCACTGAAATTAATTAAATGCTTCTCTCTTTCAGTTTGATTTTCAAGAGGCAGTAAAGAATTTTCTCCCTCCAGGAAACAAGGTGGTTAATGGAGAAAATTTGAGCTTTGCGTATGAATTCAAAGCTGACGCGTTATTTGATTTCTTCTATTGGTTTGGGCTCAGCAATTCCACTGTAAAAGTGAATGGAAAAGTTCTGAATTTGTCAAGTACAAGTCCAGAAAAGAAGGAGACCATTAAATTATTTCTGGAAAAGATGAGTGAACCTTTAATCCGAAGGAGCAGTTTCTCTGACCGAAAATTCAGTGTAACTTCCAGAGGTATGTTAAAAATTCTCAACTACCCGAAGAACGTAGTTAAATTAAAGGGTAGAATAATAGCATGGGGGAGGAGAATCAATTAATGGAAAAGGTAAGGCTTCTTGGTAAAGGGGAAATATAATATCACATATTTCAGAAACTAGGAAGTGAGAAACATTTACTACCAAAAAGAAATATAGTAAACTAACACAACATTGTAAACCAATTACACGTCAATAAAAATTAAAAAAAAGAAAAGAAATATAGTGACTTTTCCTTTTAGGCTCCTTTAAGTTTTCTGACATAGCAGTTTTACAGTGCAGCATACCCAGAAAATAATTTTAAAATATATTATTAATGTAAATACATGTTAATACTCATTGAAATATTATTAACAATAATTTAACTATAGAAGAATGATGCTTTCCTCATGTGCATATTCAGGGCAACAGAATGTATGGAAAAGTGTTGGCTGAGGGGGGAAGACACATGGTCGAGATATCCATCTTTATAAATATTTGGAAGGGTCCTCCAGAGTTTCTAAGACCACAAAAGAATATCTCTTGAGACTGCTTCACTTAACAGACCACAGGTCACATCCGGTGCGTTCTAGATTTTCCATCCAGGACCTCCTTCCCAGGACCTGGGGAGACTTTTCAATCCGATGTGGCTAAGGCAGTGATATCAGTCAAGTCACCTGGATCGGTCTTCTGCTGAGCCTGCTGTCTGTCCCAGGCTAGTCTGTGCTGGAAGGCAACTTCCCTGAACCAGGACTTTTGCTGCTCATTGCAAACAAATAAACAAAGAAAAACAAGCAAAAGACAACAACAAAACACCAGTCTCTACGAACCTGTCATTTTCAAAAAGTTAAAAAAAACCCAAAAAACAGAGGCTTCATTAGTTGCATTTAATGACAGTTGCTTTCTTCCAATGTTTCTAGCGAAAATGCTTACTCCTAGCTATTTCTTATCCTGGAAAGCAGCTTCCCTCTGTCTCTGTCTGTCTCTGTCTCTGCCTGCTTCCCTCCCTCCCTCCTGCCTTTCCCCCTCCTCCTTCTCTCTCCCTCTTTGTTGCTTTGCTTTCTCTGTCTGGGTACTTCTTACAAAGATGCCTTTGTTCTCTGCTCCATTGCTGCCATGGTGGGGGGGGGAGGGGAAGTTATGTGCTCATCCTTTTGGGGGAAGATTACCTTGCCTGGTTGTGGCCATCCCAGATGCCAGGTCCTTCCTGGGACACCCCCCAGCCCACCCACTGGCCACAGCAGCCTGAGCAGGGTTTTTCTGTTTCTTCATCCCTCACCCACTGTCCTTTATGCTGCCCGGGTGTTCACTGGCATCCTGGGGAGACTGAGGGGCATGTGAAGTTGGGCAGTGCTTCCTTGCAAGTTTACTCCGAGCCGGCCCTGGGGCCACTTCTACTTCAGAGCAGTGGGGAAGGATTCTTCAAGGCCCACCTGAGTCGTCGTCATGCACTGCAGGTGACCCAACCACCATGCATCAGCCACTCGGCAGGCAGCTCCGCTGGCTCAGCCCTGGTGATCACTTAGCCTGGCTTCATCTCCTTCTCGAGAACAGACCTTTGTCCTAGGCATCTTTTCCCCACCTGTGGGCCTTTTGTCATCAAGTGAGAAAGGGTACCTGTAACTCCAGCCCATGGAGAAGCAAGTGACATCCACATCCTCCTGGTGAACAGAAAGGAACACGTTTCTGTCAGCGTTTTGAGTTTTTCTGAGGAAGCCAGGATTCCCTATTCGTTATTGAAATGGTTACGTTGGATGCTGCATGGGCCTTAGGTACTGTTGGATTTGGGTTGTAGTTTTCCAGAGATGGTAATAATGCAAGCCCTGTTTACTTTTCTCAGGTTCACTAGATGAAGTTTTTAACTGCAGTCTGTCACCCAGATCAGCTCTGATGGAGCCTCTTTTGGCAGAATTACCATTTCCATGTGTTCTGGAATCTGAAGAGACACCCAACCCATTTATCTGATTGGATTGGACATTTTGCAGCTCCTCCTACACCCCAGGCCTGTGCCAGAACCCAAGGCTGAGGGGATCCAAGAGAGATGGGAGGCGGGTACCTCTGCCCTCTGCTCCTACAGAGACCCCTCCTTTCCATTTTTTTTTTTTCTTTTTTTTTTTTGCTGTACGTGGGCCTCTCACTGCTGTGGCGTATCCCGTTGCGGAGCACAGGCTCCGGACGCGCAGGCTCAGCGGCCATGGCTCACGGGCTCAGCCGCTCCGCGGCATGTGGGATCTTCCCGGACCGGGGCACGAACCCCTGTCCCCTGCATCGGCAGGCGGACTCTCAACCACTGCGCCACCAGGGAAGCCCCTCTCCTTTCCATTTTTGTGGGCGATGCTTTGGCAGGGCTGATGCAGCTGTCTTCAGGATGGGAGGGCTTTGGCCCCATGGCCTGGGCGGTTCCTCTCCTTTTAACACTTCTCTGAAGAGGCAGAGGGAGTGGCAGAGTCCTGCCACCCTGAATATTTCGCTTATGCCCTGGCGTCCTGGGAGCTCCTGGGCAGCCTTTGTGGGAGCCACCTGACCTGGGTTTTGCCCTGTGACACTTCATAAATCTGGGTTTAGCCCTCTGCTTGTCTGAACCCAAACCCAGCAAGCACGGGGTTAGCAGTGCCATTCTCTTGCAAACGTTGCTGAGCAAAAAGCCCAGGACATCCTTCATCAGAAGGCAAGTATGTTTTTCATCCTGCCCATAGGATGAAACCTTAGGAGAAACATTCACGGTGAGGCTCGCGGGAGGATTGGCCAGGTTGATAAGGCGGTAACCCTGCCACCCGCTGCCTGAAATTTGAACTCCCTTGACCTCCCTCTTAACAAAGTGGCCCGTGTAGAAAGAGGCCAGGTGATGTGATACCAAACATGACAGGAGAAGGATAATGTATGCGGCATTGTCCTCTCTGTTAAAAGCACATTATGTCAGTTGGGTATTTCATAAGCTTTTAGCAATCCTAACACTAAAAGCAGAATAGAAGATAGCTATACCATTACCATAATACATTGTTACAGCAATACATTTTTCATCTCATAGCTACAGTGGAGTTCTTCCAAAAGACACAAAACATCATCCTATTTACATCCTAAAAACCTGCATGAATGAGTTGCTACACAGGCTTATAATGAGAAAGATTTCTGGGTCCCGAGTATAATTTTTCTGTCCTTTTAAAAAATATTCCTGTATTATACATTATGATAGCACTACTGATTGTCCTTTCATTTATATTTGAAATGGTATGTACTATATTTGTGCAATTAAATTTTTCCTTAACATTCAGCATCGAATTGAGTAAATTTGTGACCAAGTATGTGTGATCTTTCCGTCACACCCTGCAGGTGGTATGTTGGCCTTGTAACTTATTACAGTGAGAATTGTGGTTTTACAGCTATTTTATCAAGAGCCTTCTTTGAAGAATAGGTCTGTGAAGTATTTGGAGAAAAAAAATTGATACTGATGTTTCAGAAAAGGGGAATGTTCCTTAATAACAGAAGGTGATAAACATTTGTTATTCACTCGGTGCAAAATGAAGAGTATTAACAAAAAAATAAGTTATACACCAGAACAAACAAACCTTAGGTGAATATCAAATAGTATATGCTTCCCAAAGGAGATAGAAACTCTATTCACAAAAATGGACAAAGTCCATTTTTTGAAAATAGTTGAATTCAGGAAAACCTTTGGTAATCGCTCCAGAAATGGACTAAAGATCTGGAAGTTTTCTTTTTTAAATTTATTATTTTATTTATTTATTGTTTTTGGCTGCGTTGGGTCTTCGTTGCTGCCCGCGGGCTTTCTCTAGTTGCTGCGAGCGGGGTCTACTGTTCATTGCTGTGCGCGGGCTTCTCATTGCAGTGGCTTCTCTTGTTGCGGAGCACAGGCTCTAGGCACGCGGGCTTCAGTAGTTGTGGCTCGTGAGCTTCAGTAGTTGCGGCTCATGGGCTCTAGAGCGCAGGCTCAATAGTTGTGGCGCACGGGCTTAGTTGCTCCGTGGCATGTGGGATCTTCCTGGACCAGGGCTGAAACCCGTGTCCGCCCCTGGAATGTTTCTTTTATCATTAAAAATTGTTTTCAGTCAACTCAGAGCCAAATGCATTTACTTAATTCGATATTCACTTACCAAAGTTTTATGACTGCCTCCAAGGAAATATACACTGTGCTAATGTATATTTCATTAGCAAATGTCACAAAGAATTGATACTGGGAAATCTATAAAATCGGTGAAAAGTCTATTGGGACAGATCTTCCTGGGTCAAAGTGACCTCAGTCTGGATGTATATTTGCCCTAATTCAGACATCTTAAACAGTTTAAGATCAGTAGAAATGTATAGGACAAGAATGGCCTAAGCAATCATTCATTCCATTCATTCATTCATTTATCACATATGATTGAGTGCCTACTGTGTGCAGTGCACTGGAGCTGGTATATAAAGGTGCCTAAAACATGGCCCTTGCTCTCAAGGAACATCCAGTCTTGTAAAAGACAGGTGTACAGCTAGTAAGAACAATAAAATTAGTGCTACGGGAGAGATTCAAAAAGGAAAGCGTCTAAAACGCTTATGATCCAGTTTTGGAGATAAAATTACTGACGTGTAACTGTAAAATTTAGTTTTAAAAGAAACATGTAAGGATCAATTTATCCAAGCAACTGATTTACTGAAGTTCTCAGTGAAAGAGTCACCTTGGAAGCTATTAATTTTTTCCAACAAGAATGCAATCTGGACATTATCTACAGAATAAGGGAGTTTTTCTCTTATTACCTCATGGTTAGAGTTTGATTTTTGGCCAAAGGAAAACATTGTCCAACTTGATTGCCTACCTTAATTATCAGCTCGAATGTCTTCTTACTGTTTCAAATACCCGTCTGTCTTCAAAGAGCAAAGTTATACCCCAATTTAAGAAATTCAAAAGAATGTGCATCAGTGTTTGAAGGGAGTTTCTAAAGAATTTCAAAGATGCTTTAAGCAATGGCAGTGTCATTATAATAAATGATTACTTTGAAGAAGAGAACATTCATTTGGATGGCTAACTGCTGGTCTAACAGATTTAAAATGAGTGTTCACACTTGATACTCACGGCTTGAATAAACTTGAGAGACCCAATAATGCAAGGCATTAGTAATTGTTCTTAAGGGTTCAGAGAAGAGAAAAACACAAGAATCAGAGACAGCAGAGATGGCCCAGGAAGGAGGTGACATTTATATACGATTGATGATGAGGTTTTGATAGAATCAAACGTCTGAACTTGCTGTTACAGCTTTAATTGGATAAAATGTGAGTTTGGTGAGTGGCAGGTTAGAAGAAGAGCTTAGAATTTACCCTGTTAAACTGGACTGTCCTAATAAAATAGAGACCATTATAAAATTTTCTTTTCTGGATTTTTCAATAAAAACAGAGCAATCATTCTTGGACGGCTTAAACACAACCCCTCTTAGTGGCAGATATGAACCAGGTGACCTCAGGAAGACCTGGATCTCTGATGGTAATTTTAAGTGTCAGTTTGGCTGGGCCACGGTGTCCAGATGTGTCGACAAACATTATTCTTGATGTTTCTATGAGGGTGTTTTGGATGAGGCTAACATTTAAATCAGTGGACTTTAAGTAAAGCAGATTGCCCTCCACAATGTGAATGGACCTCTCCCATCAGCTGAAGGCCTGAATAGAACAAAAGTCTGACCTCCCCTAAGCAAGACAAAATTTTGCACAGATGACCTTCAGACTTGAACTGCAATGTAGGATCTGCCCTGGGCTGCCCTGGGCCTCTGGCCTGCTGGCCTACTTTGCAGATTTAGGACTTGCCAGTCCCCACAATTGTGTGATCCAGTTCCTTAAACTAAGTTTCTTTCTCTCTCTCCACACACACACACACACACACACACAGACACACACACACACACACTATTGGTTCTGTTTCTCTAGAGAACCCTTAATAATACAGAGTCCATCACAGAAATGGAGAAAATGTTTTACGAGTTAATCCATCAGCTAAAACAAAGAGAAAAGACAGTATTTTTTTTTTTTACATGAAGACACTTGAATAAAAGCATTGCATACCACATAATAACAGGAAGTCTTGCCAAAATACAGCAAGCAAGCCAGAAAAACTTCACTCAGTACATTCATATCCAAAGCACTTGGCATTGCTGAAGAATGTCCGTGACCTCTTCTGGGCTTTTGGAAACAGTCACCGGCCAAGTCTCCCATCAACTCTTTCACATGCTTCCGCTCGTTCCGGAGGCAGCCTTTCCTGTCGTGCTACCCGGAGCAGAGGTCCTCAAACTCGAATGTGCCCTGGAATCTCTTGGAGGTTCAGCTGCAGATCCTGACTCAGGAGCTCGGTGGGGGAGGGAGGGAGAGCTGTGTTTCTGCGTTTCTAACCAGTTCCCAGGTGATGCCGAGGCCGCTGGTCCTGGGACAAGGCTCTAGACCTGTCCATCTCAAGCGTTACGAATCACCTGGGGATCTTGTTAGAAAAGCAGAATCTTGCTTCCCCCCGACTTACTGACTCAGAACTCGTGTTCTCGTCAAATGCCCAGGTGGTGTGGACACGCTCAGTTTGGGGATAGCTTGCTGGTACATCTGCTTTCTCCTGGCTGGGACCCTGTCTACTCTCTCCTGGAGCATCAAGTTCTCTCTCTCTCCCTGCTTCTTACCCTTGGCCTATGAACTTGGTTATTCTTCTCTCCTTTCAAGTCTCCATGTGACCCACACCCTCTTCCCCCGCTAGACCCTCTTCTCCTTCACAGGCAAAAGTTGAGTGTTCGGGCTTCCCTGGTGGCGCAGTGGTTGAGAGTCCGCCTGCTAATGCAGACGACACGGGTTCGTGCCCTGGTCCGGGAGGATCCCACATGCCGCGGAGCGGCTGGGCCCGTGAGCCGTGGCCGCTGAGCCTGCACGTCTGGAGCCTGTGCTCCGCGACGGGAGAGGCCACAGCAGTGAGAGGCCCGCGTACCGCAAAAAAGGAAGAAAGAAAAAAAAAATTTTGAGTGTTGCTTCGTTGCTGTCTCTTCCCTCCACCACCCAGCCCCATCTTGACTTCTTCATATCACGCTCCCTCTGTACGTGTGTGTGGCAGAAAGAAATTTCTTGTAATAATGTGAATGGGAAACCAGTTCGCATTTAATTCATTTGATGCAGCTGCTCTCAACTGGTTTTGGTCAATTCCAAACTCTGTCACAGGAGCGTTGGCAACCTCAAGGTCTTAGTGTCTGTGTGATGGATCCACTCTGGCAGGTGAATGGAACCTTGCTTCTCTTACTGCTGGAAAAGAGGATTTACTTAAACGACTGACCTGAGCCCTCACGCTGTTGCCTGACCCACTCAGTGCACACTCCTCATGTTCAGGTGGAGCTCCTCAGCGGGGCTGTGGGGCTGCTGGGCTGTCCCCCTCCCCCTTCACAGTATGGCAAGACCAAGCTCACAGGGCCTCTGGAGGACACAGGCTGTTTCCCCCTCCTGGGTCCTTCCTGGGCCTTGGGGCACCTCTCCCTCTTCATCTGGTCGCCTCCCGGGCATCTTGGAAAACTCAGCTCAGGCAATTCCTCTCCCCCTCCCCCAAGGTCCCATAATACTCTGGGCACTGCCCTTAATGTCATCATCCAGCTCACTTCAGGTGCTCAGTATTTGTTGAGGGAAAGAAGAAAGGAAAAATATTCTGCTTAATCCTTAAACGGAGTTGCCTCAAGGAACCCAAATTCAAAGGCAGGAAGAGTGCTGTACTGCTCATAATGAAATGGGCCTGTATCAACCATCCGTCTGCAGAAGCAGAAGCAGAAATGAAAGGCTATAAAAAAGAATGAAGGACTTCCCTGGTGGCGCAGTGGTTAAGAATCCACCTGCCAATGCAGGGGACACGGGTTCAAGCCCTGGTCTGGGGAGATCCCACATGCCGCAGAGCATCTAAGCTCGTGAGCCACAACCACTGAGCCTGCTCTCTAGAGCCTGTGAGCCGCAACTACTGAGCCTGCGTGCCACAGCTAGTGAAGCCCGCGCGCCTAGAGTCCGTGCTCCACAACAAGAGAAGCCACTGTTATGAGAAGCCAGCGCACGGCAACGAAGAGTAGCCCCAGCTTGCCACATCTAAGAAAGCCTGCACGCAGAAATGAAGACCCAACACAACCAAAAATAAAATAAATAAATAATTTAAAAAATTTTTTTAATAAAATTAAATTTTTAAAAAAAAGATCAAAAGAGTAATAAGACAAAAGAGCAATACCTTAGGTGTGTGTGGCTTTACGATTTATAAATTATCCTTAGAATTATTCATCTTTACAGCCCACTGAGGTGGGTACTCACATATTCCTTTTACAGATAAGGAAGCTGAGGCCCGGAGCAGTACCTGCTTTACGCCCAAGGCCTTCAGGTAGAAAGTGACGGATCTTCTGGCTCTCGGTTCCGCGAGTATCCCTCCCCGCCATTTCACAGCTTGCCTAAGACGAGACAAATGTAAGATATTAATACAAATTCACTGCAAAAATTCTATATACTCACTGCTCTATTTTTAAAGTGTATTTCTTTTAAATTATGCTATGCTAATTAGCTCTACTATTTCCAGACAGTAATCTGTTATTGGGTGTTACTTTCTTAATTTAGACTCCACTACTAAATCCTAATTTAGACTCATTCCTTCTAATAACATCGACAGAAGCCTGTGTGTCCCGCCATTCATTGCTATAAATTTGAGAGCCTAAATCTGTTATATTCATTCCATTACATGGATGGGACGCTACTCTCAGAAACTTCTGGTTGAGCTCTTCAGTTTAAAGAAATCCTTGCATATATACATGGGATCCTTACTTTGATGCCTATTCTGTCTCCTTTGATAAATTCCCTTTTGTTACTTCACTGTTCGCTTAAGGTCTATGTTAGAATAACCCCTTGAAAGGTTAAGGGATGGTTGTAAATTGCTTTCTAAGCATGGTGCCAACAGTCTCCAATGCGTACTTACTGTTTCCTCTTCGCATCCAAGTGGGTAATAGCTGTGTCCTAGCCAGGAGACATTCAATATCACTAAGCACCTATGTGCCAAATGACCAGGTAGCTGTCAAATAATATAAAAGACCCTCCACATACATGGGGGTGAGAGACCCAGTTGAACCTGTGGGGACAGAAGAATGATGACACTGACCGTCACAAAAACGATTTTTGGTGCCAGGAACATGGCCTGGTGAGAAGAAAGGTGTCACGCACGTCCCTACTCACTCCTCTTTCCAAGCGCACTTTTCTATCACCTCCCTGCCGGCTCCTCATTCCTGTGCAGAGATGACCAGTTTGATGGCATGAAACTATCTCAGAAACTCTGGTTCTAGTTCCACGTAACGCAAGATTACTTGTGATTTTTAATTCCTCTTGCTCGGATCCTGCAAGATCCCTGACGACTTCGCCTTCATTCGCTTAAGCTGAAAATTGTGCATAGCTGGCAATTTGCAGTTGAAAATCTGACAATATTACTTTCTCTTCGGCCCCTTTTGCTCCTCTCCCCAAATATATATAAGACAGTTCTCGGGAAAGCTCATTGCATGAACTAGACAAATACACGAAAGTAAGGTATCCATCATATTACTAGAAACACATCTTTTTACTTTCAGACCGGGTCCCCCAGCCGGCCCGGTGAAGCGCCCTGCACCTCGTCTGCCGGGGGCTGAGCCGCCGGGAACCTCCCCGCGTCTCCATGGCGAAGCGTCGCAAAGCAGCCGCGCAGCACCCAGCCCGGCTGGTGCGAGAGGCCCAGCGACGGCCTCTTCTAGCAAGAATGGCAGAGCCTGGGGAGGCTCCGTGTCCTTCTCAATGCGGCCACAAGATCCTGCCAAGTAAGACTGCGGACCTTGCCAGCCGGCGGGGGGCGGGGACGGGGTCTCCCTTGGAGACGCGGTGCCTGGAGCGAAGGCCGCTCGGGTCTTCAAGGGTGTGTGCCTCCCCCTTACGGGTGGGACTCAATTTAAGGAGAGGCTGGGAGTCAGGGAAAATGAAAGGGTGTTCACGACCTTGCCCCTTTCCAGCCCTTCGCCATACCTTCTGTCAAAGCCCTCCCTAAACAGCTCGGAGTTTAAACACCCCATGAAATGTCCAGGAGGGGACAAGCAAAAGGAAGGCCTAGTGTCTGGAGAACAAAGACAAAGACAAAGAAGCAACAGAGGTCGGGAGCTCTGAAGAGAGCAGACCCAGCGGGGGCCCTGATCCCCGGCAGGATCTGGGAAACAGCGCAGAAAGAGGGCGGGGAGGGGCTGCAGAATGCAGAGAAGCGACCCCCAAGAGGATCTGCAGCGTCCCCCACCCCCACCCCGGTGGCTGTAGCAGAGGCTGGGAACTATGGCATTCAGCTGTCGCTTCTAAACTTCGCTGATTTTTCTTTCAAAGGGATTTTGTATCTAACAGAGGCAGTGCTTTTAATACTAATTCTGCATGCGAATGCAGCTGGTGTACTAACTCAGCTGTTTGTGTCAGTGGAGGGAGAGCCACTCTAGCTGTGGTGCTACTGGCATGATTACTGTGTAGTCAGCTCCATCCCGGTCTTTCTCATGGCAATAATAACCCATCGCAGCCCTCTAGCTGGGTAATTGTGGTTCCCTGGTGGCTACGGAGCAGTGGGGATTGTTCAACTGCAAATTCCCTAGAATTGTAGTCCCAGGAGAATGAATGAAATGCATACTTTCATCCCATTCATCCCTTTGTAAATTACGAAGAGCAAATGAAAATAATTAATACAAAAATATTTACAACACGAGTTTCTCTATGGTGTCCAGGCAGAGGAGCTGGAGCCCTCCCCAGGAACGCCCCCCCCGGCCCCCCGCCCCACTCCCCTGAGTCTCGTCCTCCATTTCTAGCCACCCTGTCTTGGTTTCTTTCACTGTCTGCTCTCCCCCCTCTTGTCTGGGAATGTTGGCGTCCTCCAGGTTTTCTCCTTCTTGGCTTACATCCCCTATGTGAGTGGCCATATCCTGCCACAGGGCTTCTAGTCTACATAAAGGTGCCAATCAATGGCTCTCTCATCTTTATCTCTAACTCAGATGCTCTTCCTAGATCTCAGACCAAAATATCCATCTGTCTACCAGATGCACTTGGATGGCACAGAAGGGCCTCAAACGCAACACGTACAAAACTATACTCTTTGTCTTCCTAGACTTGGAAGCTCAGTAAGGAGGGTCCCATCTGCTTAAAGGAGAGGGGAGGGCAGCTTCACTGACACCTCAATGTCATCTCCAGGCGTCACTGATTCTGCCTCCAAAGTGTCCCTTCCCCTGGGGGAGTTTGCCCCTTCACCTCCGGTCCTGAGTCTCTAACAGCCACTCTGTGCTACTCCATCCTCCACTGATGGAAGGATTACCCTCTAAAAGGTGGGCCTAATGTGTCACTGTCCAGCTCTGGTCTCAAAATAGGATGAGGCCGATGACGCCTATGGACGAATTGCTATCGAACTATTACTATCGACTGGGCTCTTAAGTGCTGTATTCCTTCCAAGGACCGCCATAAATTTCCACAAACTGGTGGCTGAAAACAATAGAAATTTATTTTTTTCACATTTTGGAGGCCAGAAGCCTGGTATCAAGCTATTGGCATGGCTGCACTCCCTCTGGTGGCTCTTGGGAAGAATCCGTCCTTGCGTCTTCCAGCTTCTGGTGGCTGTCGGCATTCTTTTTCTTTTTTTTCGGTACGCGGGCCTCTCACTGTTGTGGCCTCTCCCGTTGCGGAGCACAGGCTCCGGACGCGCAGGCTCAGCGGCCATGGCTCACGGGCGCAGCCGCTCCACGGCATGTGGGATTCTCCCAGACCGGGGCACGAACCCGTGTCCTTTGTATCGGCAGGCGGACTCTCAACCACTGCACCACCAGGGAAGCCCTGTCAGTATTCTTGACCTGTGGCCATCACTCCAGTCTCGGCCTCCATGGTCACATCACCTCCTCCTCTTCCGTGGCCAACCTCCCTCTGCCTTCCTTACGAGGACACTGAAATTGCATTTAGGGCCCACCGGATAATCTAGGGTGTTCTTCATCTCAAATCCTACTTGCATCTGCAGAGTGATCAGGCCTAGATTGGTGTTGCTTGCTTCGGAAAAAGACAGTCTCTGTGCAGAAGATCCTTCCAGATCCTTCTAAGAGTCAAACTCAGAGCTTCAAATCAGGTGAAGTGATAGTTTATTTTAAGAGCAACACAGCCTCACAATTTCTCCCCACCTACTTGTCCGTGCTTGAAATTCTCTTAACAAAGAACATTAATTCTGCTGTTGGAATAAAATGCTTTAAAGTATAAAGTGGTTCCCACTAAAGAAGGAGAATCAAAGGATAATGTCTTTTCTAGTATAATGGGATCAGAGCGTAGACACCAGCCAGGAGTCTGCGAACAGAAGGACAGAGCGTGACAGGCAGGGGCTAAGGCTTTAGTTAGCCCGGGGAAGCCTCAGGTGGAGGTGAAACTCACCCCGTGTGAAGGCGGCGGGTGAATAGTTACAGAGGGGCAGATGCAGCTGCCTGGCTGGATTCAAGGACCTTTTCGATGAGAAACAAGCCCTGGATGGCAGAGGTGGAGAGATGGGAGAGATGGGGAGAAGTACACAGATGGCAAAAACTAAATGTTTCTTTTTTATATGTAGGCAGTGGCATTTGGGTTCTCAGACTATTTGGAAATTGAAGACACCTTTGAGAAAGATGCTTTACGGCAATTGTATTCAGGATGCGTGAACGGGAGAAAAGGCAGGCAGTGAGGTGGGTGCGGTGTGAGAGGTGAGGTGATGGACCCCAGACGGCTTTGCTTCGAACATGGAAGGGATCATTTCACCCAGGTGCTAGTGAAATCTAAAAAGCCACAGGTAACTGCCTAGATATGAAGAAAGAGAGAATGATCGAATTAAATTTTAAAAATATATTCCCAAGTAATCTGGTGGTACCTCCGTTCACAAGGGGAGGTTGGGGCAGATCAATCCTCGTGTCTGCATACTGGTGAATTCTCCATCCTCACCCTCTGGGCCGCCAGCAGCATTTGCCGTTGTAGGTGTCCCTCCCTCCTCCTGGAATCATGTTTTTCCTTCGGCCATCAGGACACCACAGCCTCCTGGGTCTCCACTCCGCTCACTGAGCTTCTCAGCCTCCTTCACCGGCTTCCCCTCATCTCCCCAGCCTCTTGACACTGGGGGGCCCCGGGCTTCAGCCTTTGGACGTCACCTCCTCTAATGCCACTCCCTCCCTTGCTGAGCTCACTCACTCTCACAGCTTTAAAGAACAGCTATGCCGCGGAATCTTGCACAGTCGTTACAAAGAATTAATTACAGCTGCACCAGACGAGTCAGAGGGGCTTCCCATACGGCGCCGTTAAGTGACAAGTAGAAGAGGACACTTTGTGTAAGATGAGCCTGTTTTTGTAAAACAAAATAGGACTAGAACCCAATGTGATAATGTATTGATGTACGTATATATCAATCTGTATATGATTATAGTAGCAGTTATAAAAGTCTGGAAAGAAACAGGCACAATTGTTGACATGGGCTACTTGGGAGGAGGGTGATTACAAGCAGGGCCAGGAAAGAGCCACGACAAGGGGTCCAGGAGAGAACCTGACATGGAAACTATGACCCTCTTTGTGTAAAATCAGTTCATGCATTTACAGGTATATCTAATGTGATGCATGAAAAGTCAGGCAATAAAACAGCGATAGTGAACATCCTAAGATGACAGAATTTCAAATGAACTCTTTTCTTTATATTTTTATGTATTGCTCGAATTCTTTAAAATAGTATATGTGAGTTCTCAAGAAAAACAATAGACCTATTTTTATCTAGGGGGGGAACTCATAATTAAATTGAGCTTCCCCTCTACCCTAGTGGAGCTCACAAGTTGGCCTTCACTCCTTTACACTCTGCATTACCACCCAAAACGTTTGTCTCTTGCAAAATTATTTTAATTATTAAAACAACATTTGATCAAAATATGCTGGCTTGCCACATTTAAAACTGTTTTATTGTGCTTTTAGCAGGTGATACCGATCGGGATTCCTACGCCACCACGACGAAGACTGCGTTCACACCTAAGACAGGAGCAGTGCCTGCTTTCATTCGGTACATTCCAATTCAAATCAGATTGATATACACGCTTGAATTTGTTCACCTTTCTTGTATTATTCAGAGTCCAAAACCAATAGAGAGTAATCAGAGAAGGCTTATAGAAAATGAACTCAGATCAGACCCACTGCACGCACAGGTCTCCTCCAAGCATCAGAGGGGGTTTCCCCTTCAAAGAGTATCCCAAGCTCCCACAGGAAAATTGAGAAAATTAACACATGGGTCTTTCATAAAGCCACTGTGCGTCATGCTTTACAACAGAGCCAGTATACAGTTAATAGAACTGTGCTACCTAGACATGGAGCATGAATTGAGTTCATTACCTGGTATACGGTAGGCAGGCAATGACAACTGAATGACTGGGTAAGTGAGTAATTGTTAGCACTTCCACCCAATACTAGTCTTGGAAGCTGGAACAAGGCCACAGTCCCCTTACCCTTACCTTCACTCCTCCAACTATTGCTTCCTAAAGCAATGTTTGCTTGCAACTTCTCCCTCAATTCCACCTGAACCGAGGGTGGTGGGAATTTCTG